ACTCTATTTATTATATTCAAAAGAAAAAGAAAAATATTGATATTACCAAACATGAAAAAATTACATGGATAGGAGAGGGAGGAGAGGGGAGAAAAAAATTAACAAAAATTCGTAAAAATCGATAAAACACGATACTTCAACATCGTTGATCTTTATCGACAATTAAGAACAAATCCTCCCCCTTGTGTCTACGCCTAATGTGAGTGTAAATATTAGGCGGATGTTTGCTCCTGAGGCCGCAATAGGGACAATGAAATTTCGGTTCTCGGCCGCAAACTGTCCGTAAATGCGTATCCAGTGTCCTTTTGTTCTTGTATCCTTGGGAACACTTTGGGCAAACGTGGTTCCTCGACTCGATTCGATTCATCGTTCGTCTTTCCTCGATCCTGAACGAGGGATCCATGAAGCAACCTCTGGTTAGATGCCTCTTCAAATGGCTTTGAGAGGAGTATGGACAGTTGCAGAAGTTGCATCGATATTCCTCGACGTTGAAATTGAGGATCAATGCTGCAACACACAAGCAGTAACTCGAATATCGATACAGTTTTGTTATATATTTTCCTCTCTTTGGGGACGATTCGAATTGTAAGAAATCCTTCGTTCGTTCCTTTTTTTCTTAATGAGTTAGAGAGTTAATCGATGATGGTGTTTCAATCAGTGTTCTTGAAAAATTTTGCCTCGTATTTCTGTGATGAAGAGAGTTAAATGTATTTTTGGAATAAGTGAAGATGTTTTTTTACATTTTGAAAGTTTTAGAAGTTAATTTCTTTCTCGCTTTGAATAATCAGATTTTTAATATTTAATACGTGCTCCTCATATATTCACTCTTTTTTATCAATTAGTTCTGTTGTCGTTGAATTCTTTGAGAAATAGTGTATTTATTTAATTTAAAAACGATGATTAGATATATTTCCATAAAAGAAAAAGTTTCTTATTTCTTTTTATGCAGATATATTTAAAAAAAATGTTCAAGAATGATAATAATATAAGTATAATAGTAGTATATAAATATAGTAATAATATAAGTTATGAATACATGTAAAACAGTTTAACATTGTAATACGTTTATTCGTATATGAATACGATTTCAAAAATAATTTAATTTTAGAGATGATCCAAAATAATAATTTTAAATAATTTATTTATAAATATAATTAAAAGATGAATGGATAAACATATAATTTTGATAAGATAATTTTTACCAGGAAAATACTCTCCACTGTAAAATTGTAGGCTCGAATTCGAAGGCATTATATTGTTTGCTATTTATTTTTGCTTAGATATATTTATAAAATAGAGTGCAGAGACACTATTTTCCATTATGCACCAAGCACGGACAACATATATTGTTTACATGTATTTATTTATACAAAACCAACTGAATTCTTAACAATTAAATTTATATTTTGTTTACACTTGGATTACATCTCGAAGAAAATGTAACGATCGAAAGGATTAATAATTATATTCACTCATTATTTTTTGAACCACTGTCTATGAAAATGAACTTTTGAATTTTGGAATGAATTTTCTTTTTGGCAAAAGTAGAAAATATATCTGACTCGAAAGATGAAATATTCAATAGTAATGGAAAGACTTAGCTTTTTTTAGAAGCGCGATAAAAAGCTATTAAAGAATACTGCGCGTAATTTATTTCCACGGTTAAAAGACTGGTTATAAAAATAATCGTTTTCACAAATGGGAAGGAAAGTTTACACGTGCGCTCGCTTCGCTGTCGTTAACTCGACTGAAACGTTCGAGTTACTTACCAAAACAAAACACAGCGCGACCTTATAACGCGATCATCGTTTCGAACGAAATTTTAAAATTTAAGAAGATATTTCTATAACTAAAATTGTTAATAAGTAGAATCCAATATAAAAAAAAAATTGCAGCTAATTTGTGTAATTTAGAAATATTTTTAAATATGTTTAAACTTTGAAAAATGGAGAGAAAAAAAGAAAAAGGAAAAAAGGAAAGAAAAAAATAACGTTTCAAAAAGTGTAATTTAAATCAAATTTTTATATTTAACACGCGTGAAGGAATTAATAATTTCGTCGAGATAAATAGGTGATACTATCATCTCCTTAAAGTGGTTTAAATATTTACGATTAATTGAATTATGCTTCGACGAAGATATGATTTTTTTTCTTTATACGATTAGGTTATCATCCTGCTTTTTCTTCGATCCTTTTTATTGCGTTACATATTAATATAAATACATTATTTAAATATGGTTACTGTATATGGGTCAGATCCAAAGGAAACGATCTTTTTTTTCTTTTCGAGATCTCACTTTATTTAGTTTCCATAACAATTTGTAAAATCCGAAGAGCATTAATAATTAATGTATGTTTAATGCTCGACAATGATAAATGTAACTATAACGATTAACGATATTATCCATATGATTTTCTCGTTAAAATTCTTGTATAAATTTATATTCAAAAAATTATATATTTTATTTATATATTTATATATATATATATAACATGTAATAATTATATTATTAATCGAACTATCTTGTACACGATGAAAAATATTTCTTTGATATGCATCGTGACAGCGATAAAAAATATAACATCTTTGATCCGCTGTGTATATTAGATTATAACCTTAGTTGAAAAAACTAATTTCTATAGAAATTGAATTGTTAAAGTACCGCACTCTTACATACGCCATATCCAAGGATAAGTGTATACAAGATATGATTTAACAACATTTTTGCCGAAATTAATTATCAATAACCATTTGATATATACAAAATGTCTCAAAAATCTAAAACCTATGAATCATACGATTCATAAGATAATTTCAAGCAATATTTTCAAAAACTTTCATTATTGCTTTGTTAACGAATTATTAACAAAAAAAAAAAAAAAAAAAGATTGGCCAATTACGAAGCACTTAGTCGAGCTGCGACGGTAGCCGTCGATTGAGCACAAAACAAATCCAAGCAATATATGCAAGAAATATGGAAGAAAATATGTTGAATATAACAAATATTTCTTTTATCGATAAAAAATTATATCATGAACAACAATGAATAAGTTACACTAATCAACATTTTGGACATTTTCTTCGACATATTTTGCTTGGATTTGTGCTCGAATACCTGATAGTTTTTTTTTTTTTAATAACGTGTTAATAAAGCCGTAACGAAAATTTTTGAAAAAGAAAATGTTGCTTGAAATTATTATCAAGAATCAGTTTATGAATATTCTCATATTTTTGGGACATCCTGTACATCTCTTACCTTATTCAACAGATTTAAACAGATATCATCTACATGCTTGTATACACTCATATATTATACACTTCATCTTCCAATGTATAAAATAACTTACATATTACTCCAATAAGCTATTAAAAGAAAAAAAAAAAAAAAAAAAAAAAAAAAAAAAAAGAAAAAATAGGTAGGAATATTATTTATTTGGCATTATTTGTTAATTAAATTATTTGGCAGTTTCTAACATGTCGTACGATGACAAAATTCGATGCTGTCTAAATAATTTTCTTCTCGTAACGTCACAAATTTCTTGAACATTTAACTGTAATTTAAAATTAAAGAAAAATTAGAAATTAGAAAAGAAAAAATCGGCTAAAAATTAAAAAGCATCGCGACGCTATACTCGCATCCAATTTGCTGCAACAATTTTTTTATTCGATGCAGATCGAATGGTCTAGACGAGTTTATTTCGAATAGATACAGGTTTAAAAAAATGACACGATTCGACGATGAAACGACTCGACACTTGGATTCAATTTTTCCTTTCTAGATATATAATGTAATGTTACATTATTCAATTCCGCGTGTCGACGACGTATCGCACGTATTACAATCGTTTTTTTACACGAAATGAAATAATAATAATAATAATAATCCTCCTTACAATATAACGCAACTGCCTGATAAGAAATTTTGCCATTAATAAATATATCGTGATTAAAAAAAAAAAACAAACAATAAAAATTTATGTCGTTAATAACAATTGACTCTTTTTTGTACATACGATTCAAACTTTTATCACAAAAGTTCTTCCTTTGGTTATGCCTTTGGACAACAGCAGGTAAGATTCCAAAAATACTAACAAAAAAGAAAAATGTACATTATGCGTCAAATAATTTTTACCGTTAGAGAGAAAAAAACAAGAGTAATATGAAAAATCACAGAATCTAAAAAATATAAAGGAAAAAAAAAAAAAAATAAAAAAGTAAGAATATAGGCATAAGTCTAATATTTACATAACCTAACGACGCAAACTTGAACATTCATAAAAGACGAAAATAAATTTAAAAAAAAAAAAAAAAAAAGGAAGAAAATAGGCATAAGGCCAATATTTAAAAAACCAAACGACGCAAACTTGAAAATTCATCAAAGACGAAAATAAATTTAAAAAAAAAAAAAAAAAAAGGAAGAAAATAGGCATAAGGCCAATATTTAAAAAACCAAACGACGCAAACTTGAAAATTCATCAAAGACGAAAATAAATTTAAAAAAAAAAAAAAAAAAATTCAATAATGTTTATTGGCAACGTCGTATGGAAGATCGATTGAACGACAAAAAAGTCGGATAAACTAGAAACTACAGTAAAAATTGGACAAGTTCCCGATATATAATATATAATACGAGCCAAGATACAGCAACGTAAGTTAAATAATAGGTCACTGCATTTTTTTTAAAATTTATCTATAAATCGATCGAAACGCTCACTTGTCACTTAACATTTGATTCTAATTCTTTGCTGTATCGTAGCCCATATTATAAATGCCCGGCAATCCCCTCCACCAGGGAGGGTGAGGGTAGCAACACCCTTGACACACCATTTAAAAAATTAAAGATACGATTTTATTTCGATACTTTCGATATCCCTTTCTCCTCTTTCTTTTTCACCATACCACTTTTCCACTTTTTTTTCTTACGTGGAAACCACGAAAAGGAAGCTTCTATATCGGAATTATAATTCCACTTACTCCGTGTATAAACGGCCCTCGATTTCCTCCATGTGTCCCCATCATTTTTTTTTTTTTTTTTCTTTTCTTTTCTTTCGCAAACTCATCCACAGAGACAAGAACGAATCGAGCATCTTTGGAGACCGATATCATAGTTGGACGATAATAACATATGGAAGCTATTTAGCGACCGATGCGCCATGTATATTGAGGATGTGCTGCTTAAGGTGATCCGGTCGACAGAAGTACTTTCCGCAGAGCGTGCACGTGAAAGTATACCTGGACCCGAGTCTTCCACACTCGTACCTGGAGTGTCGCGTCAGAGAGGATCGTGATCTATATGCACGTCCACACATGACACACCGAAATTTCAGCTCGCCGGAAGAGACACCCTCCATCATGGGGCTCGCTGTAAGCATACACACGGAGGCTTTTTACATTATGGGCTGTGTTCCATCCTCCCTTATCCATAAAACGGGGGCGCGAAATCGAAAAATCCAACCATCCCTCTCTCTCTCTCTCTCTCCCTCCCTTTTCTTTTCCCCCTCCGTAAATCATTCTCCTCTTTTCCTCCCTTCCCTCATCCCCCCCTGCATGAGTAGGCGTACAAAAAAAGTAAGTAAATGACAATATACCGATGTATTTCGAAGCTCGTCTCGCGGCAACGATGGGAAAAGATAAGCTCGAGCTAAGCATGTGAACGATATACGGTCAAGGCTTAAGCTCGCTCCAAAAAAAGAAGACTGCGCGCGATATTTCACTCTATTGAATAGATATATATATATATATATATATCTAATTTGATTGGGGAAAAAAAGTTAAATGGTAAGATACGATGTTGAAAGAATTTATTATATACGTACGTCATCATGATTCTAGTTAACTCGAAGGCAATACCATTATTGGACATATTCCGTAGCGATAAAATTGTGTCAGGAGGCGAATATATTTAAGAGTAGTATTCTCGAGTGGATCGAGTGTTCTCAAGAATTTTACTCTGAAATGTATTTGCTGGCTTATGTTGCATATCTGTCAACCGAAATAGATATTATCGATATTATCGTTTGTGCCAACGATTATTTAACGAAATAGTGGTCCGTTTTTTTTTTTTTTCTTTTGGAATAAAATGAGCGAGATATCTATCTCTGTTGACAAATTGCAATGTGCTAATATAATTGCATCACGATATGTAACACGGCTGGCATTACCTTTGAAGTTAACTAACGAGAAGATCGATATGTATTACAGAGTTAACATTCCTCGTAACCATAGCTTTGCACGTCAATATACAATATTACTAGTGAACAAAGGAAGTTTCGAAATACAAAAAAAAAGTACAAACATTAAAAAAAAAAGAAAAAAAAAAAAAAGAGGACAAAAAAATAGAATATCCACAAATTATGACAAACGTTTTTGGAAAATTACAATACGATTGTAAAAATGAAACAATGTAACGAGAATTTTTGCGAGGAGAAAAAAAAAAAAAAAAAAATTTTTTTAGAAATTTTGGGAATTATCCGGGGGAAAAAAAAAAAAAAAAAAATTTTTTTTAAAAATTTAAGGAATTTACGAAAAAAAAAAAAAAAAAAAAATACGCCCTCAAAAATGAAACGCAAAACGATCGTGATTTAAAGCGCAGTCTCCTTTACTTCGAGCCGTTGTTATTTACATGCTGCTCCAAAAATGAGTCGCTTTTATTAGTTTCCATTTTTACACCCGTAATATATATTCATTAATTAAACCCAACGTAAAAAATGCCTCCTTGTATAGTTTTCACCCAACACGCCCATGGCACACGTATAAATAAACCTATAAAACAATCTCTGTCGAAACTGCATCATTTCGTCAGAACACTCGAGACAATATAATTCTTTTAATTCGACTGGTACATAACGTATTATTTCCGCATCACATTAATATGATTATGAAAGCTTAAATTCGCGGCAAACCATGATTCAGCATGCAGTACACATTTGTCAGTCTCTCGTCGTGAATAAATACGTACGCAATACTTCTTTTTTTTTTTTTATCAATACTGATTCAATTAAATATAACAGATTTTTTATGAAAAAAATATATTTTATTATACATTTGTGCGAGGCAATACGTTTTTATAACAAGGGAATATACAGAAAATTCCATTTTTTCAATCGGACATAAATATATAAAAGTTCAAATAACTTAAGAATTCGTTAATCTATCGAGACTATAATCAATTTTAATTTTTTTCTATATATATATATAAAAAAAAAATCGATAAATAAAAAAGACTATGCTGCTATCTATCTCTATCATGAATATTATAGAATCCTTTAATAAAAAAAAAAAGAAAAAAAAAAGAAAAAATTAATTTTTAAAAAAATTCGTTATGAAACTGTGTATAATTTTTTTTAATTTTTGACTATTATTATTATTATTTTTATATATATATTATATATTATAAAAATCATCAGTTTTTAATTGAACGAGGAAATGAGAGAAATCGGGCATCTCCTGTGCAGTCTTAAACGGAACCCACCTGGTGCAGACTGAACAACGAAAGAGGATTTTTTTTTTTAAATTTCGTTGAACAGAGATTTGGCAAATCCATTCGCATTGCAGATAAGTTATTCCTTTTCCAATCCTATCTTTTTCTTCCATTCCTTGTTATTCCATAAAATGATGGCGACGATTAATCACTTTGGTAGGTGATTTACATAGAATGCACCCTCTTACTTTTTATCCGAGCTTACATTTCTCTTCGACGAGCTTTGCAAGTCACGTTAAATCGTTGCTACTTGATAAAATATAACTAAATTCATACACGAACCTGATTAATTGAAGAAAAAGTAAAATAAGAGAATATAATAAAATAATTTATTTAAAAGTGCTCTATATTGAACGATAAATTTTCAAATTTAATTATAAATTTTAAAAAGAAAAATATATATAATCATATTACTTGAAATTTTCAAAAAATAAGATTGATATTAAAAATTGTACTTGTAAAATGTCATGTCTACTTTAAAAATTAGAAGAAAAGGAACAATATTTAAAAAAATTTTTTTTCGTATTTTTAATATATATCATAATGTAAATTAAGTTTTGATATTGTGTAAAAGACAGTTTAAAAATTAGAAAGACGAGAGAGGACAGGAGAAGAGGATGATGAAAAGAAGCGATGAAAAACAATTACTTTTATCAGAAATAATTTATTGCATATCTTCTGATGCTCCACTCCACTGGACGACAGCTGGAATACGTGCAATCGAAGAATGCAAATTGTGTGCAGAATATCCTCCTAAACGCCATTATATATTTATTTCGAAACACGTTTGAATAAAATTGAAAAATCGAGTCGAGCACCTACTTAAATACTTTCCTGTACAATCCCTATTCGCAAACGCAAATTACTAAAAGAACAATTAATTATCAATAACTTTGTTCAACAATTAATCAATAAATATCAATTCCTCAAAGATTGCAAATTATTGAAAGATTTCGAATTTTTTTTTTGCAATTTCGCACGCGATCGAATATTAATCAAAGATAATAGACATATTAATCCTAATAGCACCAAAATTTAAAATAAATATATGTATATGTATATATTATTAAATATATGTATATGTATATTATTATGAACAAGATAAATACACGTTCTTTTCACGAGATAGATGAAATGTATTTATCGCAGTACGAATAGTTTTATCTTAATATTTTCAACAAATATTATTTATTGGAACAATGTCTTACTGCAATTCTCTTATAGAATTACTTGTACAATTATTTACGAGAAAAAGAACCCGATTTTGATTTTCCAATTAACAATTAGACAATTTTAAATTTTGAAAATTTTTTACAATAAATATTTTCCGTTTTCTTGTCTCATATATATATATATTACTAACAATAAAATTTTTTTTTCAAATTATTACTTCTAATCGAAGCTAGTTAATAATTCGAGATATTAATTATTATTAATCGATATTACTCGCACGAATCGCAACGACGCAATATTACCAGTCAGAAGACCAAATCCTATCCGTTTTTGAAAATTAACGTGTCACGAACTAAGAGAACTATTTTTAACTTTTTAAGGCTTGATCGTATAATATACACATTTAAAGACTCGCGCAAACAACTTGACACAATCACAAAAAAAAAACGGTAAGTTTTCGCAACATTGAAAAATCAAGTAACTCTAGAAAAAGCAAATCGATCAAGCCTTACGAAATACTTCTAATCTTTTTACGAAAGGTACGCATTGTATATTTATGAATTCGACAAACTACAAAAACTCGAACAAGTAAAATAATTTACAGAACTCTACTTGCTCAATTATTATTATTATAACAGGACATGTTTTGCGTCGTGATACGTCGACTCTCTCCGACTTTTCATGGTGGAACGGTGTTATGCCACAATGGAGGGATAATATATAAGTAAGAGAACAACGAAAAGGGGAAACGTATTATTATGGAATAATTTTCTCCTTTACTTGGTCTCTCCTCGAGAGTGACGGGAAAATTGCGATGGAGACATGTTGATTCGATCTGGAAAACCTTCCTCTGGAACAAGGCGCCAAGTGGTGACCGGTCCGCTTCTGATGTGCCCTCTGACGTGTCCAGCCGAGTGAAACGACGACAGCAAGTTAATGCAGAACTGCTTTTCTACTCCACACACTCATACTTCTGATGCCTGTCCAAAGAATATTGGACGGCATAACGTCGACCGCATCGCGAGCAACAATAGCCAAAAATCGATTCTGAAACACCGTCGGGTCCCTCACCGCAATCGTACACACGTTCATTCGTACTCTCTCCCTTTCGCTCACTCTTTCTCTCCGTATATACCAATATCTCTCTCGTCTGCCTAGACGTTCGTTGGTGTCTCGTCGAGAAGCATCGCTGGAGAAGATATGTCGTGGTGCGGTTCGTCAAAATTAAGATTCCCATTACGATAAAAAACGATACGATGTACACGTTTGATCTTACAATAATGATCGCTGCGCAGCAAACATTATTGGAGGAACAACGATTACACGTATATATACCTATGAATGTTGACAGCCTCTCGTCTACTTCGTTTCGTCTCGTCCATTCGAATCGTGTGTACAGTCCGTATTTATGAACGTAGAGAGAAATTCGCCTCTTAGATAAATTCGAGCAACCATAACAACGGAAACACAAGCGACTATCTTCCATTTGTAAATACTTGAAAATTGGATTGAAAAATTATATCTCGTCTTATATCGAGGATAAGCGAGATGTACTATTTGTTATATACGTCTGATGGAATGTAATATCGTATAAATTAAAAAATGATACGAAATTTCACTCATTCTCAATTTTTTCATCTCATATCTATATACTCAAGATACTTGCATTCTAAATTCCAAAGGCATTGTTAGATGGAAAATATTATGCTTCTCATCTTACTAATTTTCCACGAATATTTTGCTAGCATTCATACTCGAAATGACAACGACCTCTCTGCGATACCCGCAACGAGAAATTGAAGTCAAATCGGGGATATTAATACTTGCTTGAAAATCGCGTAAGAATATTCTAATAAATTATTCGAATTTATAAAAATTTATTAGAAATATCTACGTATCTTTCATTATACTTCGTGGACATCATAGTACGATTCGAAATGTATTTTTCGATCTAACAATACCATCGAAATTGGTAGCACCTAACGATCAACGATTTCGTTTAAAAAAAAATCACAATGGATGAAAGTACAATCGATTGGTCTTTCATTATCTGGCGCCTTAGAGTACGAAAGGTAAAGATTGAACGTACATCCATCTCGTGATTTTTCTTTTAAACGTGTCTCCGTTTTTTTTTTTTTTCAATTATTTTTCGACCCTTTAAAAATTATCGATTTTACTATTTCCCTCGCGCACAATAAAATACACATTCGAGCTTCCAATCACACTTCAAAAATTGAACCATTTGTTATTTGAAAATGAAATCGAGAGCAATATATAACGTTGCACCACAAGTGAATGCGAGATTAACGTCAAAAAAAAAATTGAATTGCCTGACACATTTGAATAGATGGCACGAATGATAATTTTTCTTTAAAAGAAAAGATTACTCGTGAAATTTAATCCAAACGATATATATATATATATATACGAAACGATAGGAGGGAGAAGATCCATTGGGTTAAAAATAAAGAAAAAAAAGAAGACAAATTAAAATGAAAACTATATCCTAGAAAACTGAAAAAGATAAACGACTTGATATTTCGAGCGAAGAGACATAGAGATCGGGTATAAAACCTCGGAACAATATCGTAAAAAGAAAGACGATAAAAATTCATATATAACATTGACAAAATAACGTCTACTAAAAATTTTAAACATTATTGAATTATGATAAAAATGATTGTTCGAAATATTATTATTAATTCTTGTTCCCTTGTTCACATAAAATTAGAGAAGAATTAACTGTAAGAATCAAATTTATACGAACAATCATTTCTACGAAAAATTATTATTATTATTATTATAATTATTATTAAAGTATATAAAAATATGTAATACCTTGCGTGACGATACAACACGCAAGATAAAATACTTAACCCTTTTTTTTTTATATTTAACCGATTGCCTCCAAAACATATCACGAACACTCTTTATAAACATTCTTCACAGTCGTAAAATTTTCGTTCACTTGGCACAGAATCTCGAAAACTCCAATTTTCTTGGAATTTTGAAAAAAAACCGAGCGTTTTTTGGCTTCACTTTCGAACAATTGGCGAACGACATATTAAACAGATGAAAACAGAAGAAGTTTCACAAATTTTATAAACATTATGCATAAATATCGTAAATATCAATGCAGCATCGAAGTGGATGCGCAATGTAAAAACAATTATTGTCACGACAAAAAGTTTGTGGTGACATTTGAACTTAGGTTATACCATATATAAACGTACGTAAAAAACATGTACGTTTGCGTCAAAAAACACTTAAATTTTTTCTTACAAAAAAAATAAATACATAATATTCAACATTCGATAATTATAAAAAAATTCGTTTCAAATTTTATGATGCTGAAATTGAATGTAAATTACGATATATAATCGATGTATAAAAATATATAAAAAGTCAACGATTATTGATATTGTAAATAATATACACATATAAAATTGTCATATCATATAAAACAATAATAGACATAAATAAATTATCTTAGAATACTAACAATTATAAGAATAAAACATTTAGATAATTTGAGCGATAAAAAAATCACATAAAAGCTTGGCTGCAAAAAGTAATAAAATGTATATAGAAGAAAAACATGTGAAATATATATATATATATATGTATGTATGTATATATGTATAGGCAAAAAACGAAACAATATACGTCGTATACAATATAAATATTATAAATGTAAATCTAACTGCAGTTAGAACTTACTTTAATATTGAAAAGGAAAAAAATTATCGAGTCATACCACCTTTTACCTGATTGTTCCATAATGAAGTTCTAAGAAGAATCTTCTTATAGATTTCAACACTGACATTTAATCGTACAAACACTAAGAAAAAACACGAGCATAATTTGCTGTTATATTCGTTCGTAAAAAGATATCAAATTGGATATCTTTGAATGATCGAAATTGTTATCTGTTCCTTAAAAATAAATATACGTATAAAGATAACTTACTTGATTAAAAACAAAATGAAGAAAAAAGGAGAATAGAATTTTCGAAATTTGTAAAAAAAAAAAAAAGAAAAAAAAAGTAAACTGTAATTAGTCGTTTCTACTTCCAAAAACTTTCAAAATGGAAAATTTTCGAAAATAGAAACAAACAACGAAATTCTTCTTTTATCCGGATCACTGGAAAACATCGGTTCTTATCTCTTCTCGTTGATGTAACAACACAATATATTGATGCACGTATATATTGCAGATAAAAGTTTAAAATAAAAAATCCGAGCAATCATCGTGATAACTGCTCGAAAAAGCTACACGCAATTTATTATTGTTAGAATTACAAAAGATGAGAAACGCGATTTCTCGCTAATTTCATTTATCATTGTGTAGAAGAAAATCTAAAAAAAGATCTATTATTGTTAAATCGTTGAGCAAGATTATTCAATGCATCATGAAATATTAAAAAAAAAACGTGAAGATCATTTGAAAAATAAATTAAATCATTACACATGTCGAAATGATATATGATCGGAAAAACGATCGTGAATAGCGAAAATATTGCTACAGACCGTTTTAATGTATAATTTTTTTTTTTTACAAAAGACAATGTAAACTCGTATTACGATACGATATATGGTTGAACAACATACGGTATTGCAAATAGGATCACAGCATTGCTATTGAATTATTGAACAATCTAATTTCCTTACCTAAAATTATATTGATCAGGTAATCCGATAATAAATGTGACCCATATTTACAATAACAAAATAAAATGATGAAAGATCAGATATTATAAAAATCATGTACGTATATAAATTGAAATTATACGCAAGTAAAATGTATAGCAATATAAAATGTTATATATATATATAATATATATATATATATATATGTAAATGATATATAACCATAAAATGCAAAAAATGCAAAAAATGCAGCAAATCTAATAAGTACATAAATGCGCAGTGAAATGAATGAAATACTACCTCTTATATCGCTGTAATAGCTGTATTATAATTTACCATATTTACCACATCACATGGTAGATTCAGATTTTTCTTCAGCATGTTCTTTCTTCTTTTCTGTTATATTCATTTCCAAAAATATAGGCACTCACATACACGATATGGCAAAATATGGTCAACTTACGAATCGATCAAATAATATCGACTCGTGTTGATCCAAAAAAATTTGCCATAAAATTCAATGCCGAATTCATGCATATTCCCGTGACTAACAAGCCAAATATAGAAAATATTGCTTATTAGAATAAGGGAAAAAATAACAATAAAATATAAAAATGCAAATATCCCAATTAAAATATTAAAAAAACAAAGGATTTTCGTAGCAAAAAAGCATACGAAAATACGAAATTCCACGTATAAGCCGACCGGTGTACAAATAAGTACATCGATCGATTTTCTTTTTCTTTCTTTTTCTTCTTTTTCTTCTTTGGTATAATCACATGATTAAAACTCGAACGAGCGTTTGTCACATCGTGATCGAGAAATCGCTCGACCGCGATCAACCAACTTTCTCGCATTTCGTCACTTCGTATCTTCTTTATAATTTTTATTTAAATCTCTTCGAAAACAGCCTAAACACTTGGAAAGTAAAAACGGTAGCAAATAACGTACAAAATCGTGAAATCATATGGCATAGGTAGAACGAAATTCGAATGCCATTTAAAATACAACACTATGAGCAGTATTAACAATTGTATACAAATATGTTCCCATACGCAATATAGATATATGATAATAGTACATATATCGAGTGGAAAACATTGTGTAATAGATGTATGTTTATATGTTACGTATATATGTATGTATGTGTATATGTACGTGTATATATACATGTAAACATACACGCGTATGTATCCCAATATGTATTTATATGTATATATGAACACGCTCTTATATATATATAATATATATATGCATATAAACACACAAAGATAAATATACGATATATGTATTCTTATGTACATACACATCGTACATGCGCACATGTAAAATATGCATTTTAAATCGGGTTAATCAAATACTTGATGTTTATATGCGTTACGAACAAAGAAGCAAGTTATGTACACATGGGTTAGTTTAAAAAAAAACAAACAAAAAAATGTAATGGAATGTGTGCAAGCGCGTACGCCTCGTATTTATATATCATAGAAAAATGCAAGGAAAGTATATATTCGTAAGATGAGCACCACCACCGTTAAACATATATAAATATGTTTGTATATGATATAAATATATATATATATATATA